GTGACCTCTCAAACCGGATTAGCCCCATTCCTTAAAAACTGAACTTTTATCACCAAAGACACTTGGGTTTTATCCATCATTCAGTTTGGCTACCTTTTAGAATTTAAAGAACTTCCTCCTATTGGCCACATCAAAATCACATCTTACGTTTCGGCTCTAGAGGGAGAAATATCATATCTATTACAGAAGCAGGCCATTCAACGTGTGTCTCTTCAAGACATTCCAAACTGCTTCTACTCCCACTACTTCACAGTCCCCAAAAAGAATGGGGGCACCAGACCTACTCAGACGACTAAATACCTACCTTCATCCAAGGCGTTTCTGAATGTTCACTCTAGACTCCATCATTCACCTCCTGTGAAGAGACTGGTTTGTGGTTATAGACCTAAAGGGCGCTTACTTTCATATATCCATTCATCCATGTCATAAAAAATACCCTCATTTTTTCTTCATAGATACTGCCTATTAATTCTGCACCCTGCTGTTCGGCTTGTCCACCGTGCCAAGAATGTTCTCAGAGTGCATGGCACTGGTAGCAGCTTACCTTCATTTATGCAACATCATGGTTTTCCCGTATATAGATGATTGGTTGGTCGTAGCTGCTTCCCATTGAAAGGCCATCCAAGACACCAAGTTGTTCTGCAAACCCTTACAAACCTGGGCTTAAAAGTCAACAAGAAGAAATCACCTTCAACCAACTCAGGTCAGTAGACTACATCGGTGCGCGTCTAGACTCTATCCCTCTATCCGTGTAAGGGTGTTTCTTCCACCCGAACAACTCCACAAGTTAAAATGTGCAATCCGACCATTTCAACCTCACACCACAGTATCTGCCCATCACATGCAACATCTCCTAGGTCTGGTGACATCAACTACATCTGCCCTACCTCACGCGAGATTGAAGATGCATTCCCTGCAGGCTTGGTACCTGTTCCAATTCGATCCCCTGACAGACAGTCCGTCCAAGCGTCTCTACGTAACCAAAGAGCTGACGAAGCAGCTAAAGTGGTGGACATTCATACCAAATCTTCTAATGGGGCACCCATTCCGCCCTTTACAGCTCACAATTCAAGTAACAACGGATGCAAGTCCCATAGGGTGGGGAGCACACTGCGGCCCCCACAAGATTCATGCTTTTTGGTCCAAGAAGGAGAAGCTGTTGCACATAAACCACCTGGAAATGTGGGCTGTCATCAAAGCTTTTCGTGCCTTCTGTCCATTGATAGCAGGTCAGGGTGTCCAAGTGGTCACAGACAACACCACGACCATGTATTATATCAGCAAGCAAGGGGGCACTCATTCAGTGTCACTTCTATATCTGGCAGTTCATCTATGGAAGTGGTGTTGTCACATTTTTTCTGTGGCCATTCACATATCGACAGAAGACAACAAGGTGGCAGACATGCTCAGTTGTATGAATATCCAGACACACGAATGGCAACTCGACGAGGTTGTCTTTGTGATGATTTGCGACCGGTGGGGGTCACCAGAGATAGACATGTTCGCAACTCACCTCAACACCAAGTGTGACATGTTACAACCTTTGGCAGTATCCCTTGATACTCTCTTCTGTGCCTCAGACCAAGATGAAGAAGTTCTTTCAGAAACATCGGAGGACACTCCTCCAAATAGAAACACCCTGGATTCGGATGTGGGGGATTTACTTACCCCCTCTCCTCTCAAGACTTTACTTCTTACTCCCAGATGATATTTCGGATGGCCGGGTCCCTTCAGCTTGATGTCGAACAGCCACCGCCTTCAAAGCAGGATCTGGTGTTCAGTGACATCAGTCAAGGAAGGACTGTCCTTTATTCCAGTTATGTCCTTTATTCCAGTTATGATGGATATCATTAAGGAACCTTGGAGTTTACCATCATCATCAATGCACATTTCTCAAAGGATGGAGGGCCATTATTGGATGCATGGAGATAACACCATGTTCCTCTTTAAACACCCGGCTCCTAACTCTATCAATATTGTTCAGTCCAACCTATCCAGGACAGGAGGCAAAGCCAAGGTTACCCCTACCAACCGTGAGGGAAGGAAGCTGGATGTCCTTGGGTGCAAAATGTATTCCTTTGCTTCCTTTTTGCTCATAGTGTCAAATTATCAAGTGGCACGAGGAGTGTACCAGAGACAACTCTGGGCTAAAGTTTTGCCTACCCTTCAGGCAGCCCCTGAAGAATCTAGAACAGCACTCCTCAATGCCCATGCTGAAGCAACAACTGTTGCCAAACATCAAAGAGTGGCATCTCACTACACAGACCACAGTATCTGCCCATCACATGCAACATCTCCTAGGTCTGGTGACATCAACTACATCTGCCCTACCTCACGCGAGATTGAAGATGCATTCCCTGCAGGCTTGGTACCTGTTCCAATTCGATCCCCTGACAGACAGTCCGTCCAAGCGTCTCTACGTAACCAAAGAGCTGACGAAGCAGCTAAAGTGGTGGACATTCATACCAAATCTTCTAATGGGGCACCCATTCCGCCCTTTACAGCTCACAATTCAAGTAACAACGGACGCAAGTCCCACAGGGTGGGGAGCACACAGCGGCCCCCACAAGATTCATGCTTTTTGATCCAAGAAGGAGAAAAAGCAGCTAAAGTGGTGGACATTCATACCAAATCTTCTAATGGGGCACCCATTCCGCCCTTTACAGCTCACAATTCAAGTAACAACGGATGCAAGTCCCATAGGGTGGGGAGCACACTGCGGCCCCCACAAGATTCATGCTTTTTGGTCCAAGAAGGAGAAGCTGTTGCACATAAACCACCTGGAAATGTGGGCTGTCATCAAAGCTTTTTGTGCCTTCTGTCCATTGATAGCAGGTCAGGGTGTCCAAGTGGTCACAGACAACACCACGACCATGTATTATATCAGCAAGCAAGGGGGCACTCATTCAGTGTCACTTCTATATCTGGCAGTTCATCTATGGAAGTGGTGTTGTCACATTTTTTCTGTGGCCATTCACATATCGACAGAAGACAACAAGGTGGCAGACATGCTCAGTTGTATGAATATCCAGACACACGAATGGCAACTCGACGAGGTTGTCTTTGTGATGATTTGCGACCGGTGGGGGTCACCAGAGATAGACATGTTCGCAACTCACCTCAACACCAAGTGTGACATGTTACAACCTTTGGCAGTATCCCTTGATACTCTCTTCACTTGCGTCACCTATTTGATCAAGGCTTGGCTTTTTCTACCCTTAAGGTCTATATATCTGCCATTGTTTTCTACCAACCTCTGGGATCGGAGTCCTCCCATCTGTTTTCACACCCTACTCTGAAACTGTTCTTGAAAGGTTTACAAAATATCCGCCCGCCCACCCGTCAGCCTCTACCTCAATGGTCCTTGCGGGTTGTGTTGCAAGCTTTTACATGTCCGCCATTTGAACCCATGGCTTCGTCTGATTTCCAGCTCTTATCATTTAAAACTTTATTTCTAGTTGCAATAACATCAGCAAGAAGAGCAAGTGAACTGGCCACCCTTCGGGCTGATGCACTTTACCTACAATTTTTTCAAGATAAAGTGTGTCTGTACCCTGACGTCTCCTTTCTTCCTAAAGTTATTTCAAGTTTTCATGTTAATCAACAATTAACTTTACCTATGTTTCCTAATCCTTCTTCAGATGTTGAGCGCATGCTCTACTCATTAGATGTTTGCTGTGCTTTAGCATTTTATCCGTCCAGAACTAAAGACTTTTGCACCTCTCCCCGGTTATTTGTTTGCTTTCATGGTCCTCATAAAGGCTCTCCTGCAACTTCACAGACGATTTCACGGTGGATTATGTCCACAATTACTTTAGCCTATGAACTGTCGGGTAAAACCCGACCAGAGGCACTAAAGGCACATTCTGTGGCAACTTCAGCGGCCCTGCTGCTGTATTGACATCTCGGACATTTGCTGAGTGGCCACGTGGTCCACTCCGTCCACCTTTATGACTCACTATTGTTTGGACTTCAGGGCTAAGAAGAAAGCAAGATTTGGGAGAGCTGTGCTAACTTCGTTGCTGGAGTGACGGCCCACCTTCCGGTAAGTGAGCTTGCTAGTCACCCAGTTGTGTGGATTCACAGAGACCACTTAGAAGAAGGAAAGGTTACCTACTTGTAACCATGGTTCTTCTAGTGGTCCTCTGTGAATCCACACAACCCGCCTGGCCTCCCCACTGTCCATACAGTCTTAGCTTAGCTTACAGGGCTTTGACAGTGGCAGACATTTGGAACTGAGGTGGACGGGCGGGCAGAGCATGCATGGTAAGAGACAACGTGCTACTAATCTTTCTTATTTTAAGCTCTAGAATATTCCGAGGATCCAGCACAAGCGCAGTTTAAACCCAGATGTGTAGATTCACAGAGGACCGCTAGAAGAACCATGGTTACCGGTAGGTAACCTTTCTTTTAAGATTATTAGATTCATTGTTTGTTTGTTTCAAGGGTACAAGGGTATCTAAACATGTCTTGGCAAGATGCATTATGATCTTGCTGTGAGACTTCTGGCAACACACTCTGCCAGAAACAGAACCATTTCCCCTCCCAATTAATGCTGCCATAAAGTTGTCTGTGCTACTGGGTAATATCTTATTTTTCTAAATCTACAGTGGTCTGAGCTGCCCACAACGCTGTCTGATTACTGTTCCATATAGTAATGTTATCTAATTCCTGTCGTTCATTAATGTTAGAGAAAATGTTTCTTTAGTGTACCTCTGCAGCTTGGAGATGAGACTGGAGCTTTGGGTTGTTCCTCTCCACTAGGGGGCAACCAGAGTCCAGAATATTAGTTTAAATTGGCCTTCTATCTGTGTGTGTGAGGGGGACATACACTTGTGAGTGAAAGGAACATCTTAAATAAGTTCCAGTTACTTTATGGAAATATATGGCAAAAGGAGGATCTCAATAAAAATAATAACTCTAACAAAAGGGATCTTGTCTCTGGGTGTCATCTGTGTGCATAAAAGCAAAAATGTAATTTGCATCTTTCTGTTTACTAGGGAAGGTACTGATCAGTCCTATCAGCTCCTAAGAGACTCTTTGGATTTGTACCTGGCGATGTATCCAGACAATGTGCAACATCTGATGCTCCAGGCTAGACTGTACTTCCACCTGGGAATCTGGCCAGAGAAGGTACTTGGGTTTGTATACCTCAATTTTATACTGATTCATTCATATAGAGTAAGCTTCCTAAAAGAAATGCTAGTGAGATTGTTTCTTCTCTCTAAGCACTTGCCGTCTCTCCTACTAACCTTTTATGTCCCATTTAAACTTATTTCTTCCACAATTTATCAACCATGCTGCCAGCTTAGCATTCTGTTTTGCAAACAGTTCACTTCTGTGTCACTGAAGTGGGTAGTCTTCCTAAGCTTTAAGATCAGCATTTGAGATTTTGTTCTCTGGACCTTCAGCAAGATTGGTGAGTTCAAGGGATAGAATCTTTGTGGTGGTGGCTCTGTGTTTGTAGCATACACTTCCCAGAGAAATCCACTTAAGGTATTTTATCTGATGCCAGTGAGGAGGGTGCCTTTAAGAGGGAAAAGGCAATGTCCTATGTCTCCCGTATTTTTGCTTCCTTGTCCAATGAGTCCAAAACCATTTCTTCCTTTCCTTCATTCCTCTGAATTTATTTTTGCTAATAATAATGACAAGTATTAAAAATATAAGAATATATGCACATATATTTGTGTCAACTTAGACAAAAAGTAAAAAAGAGAAAAGCACTGTAGTTATCTGTATCTCAGAATGGCAGAAACCACAAACTCATGAGTTGTCTGAAAATAATCCAGTTATTCTTTCTTATTAAATATAATGTAAACACTATTCATAACGTGGAAACAGGGCCCCGAGTTTCCACTTGTTAAGAAGCAAATATTATTTATTCACATTTTTCTCTGATTCTTGTATAATATGTGAATTTGTTTTGATAGCATAGTCTCACATTTTAATAAATGAATCCATTTAATGTTAGCATAGTCTCACATTTTAATAAATGAATCAATTTAATGTTATTCTTTTTGTTGTTTCCTGTATTTGACATATAATAGCCAAGCAGATGTAATAATCCACCTTGCTAGTTCTGCATGTTCTTTATATAGGATGTAATTAATATTAATAACAAAAAAGTATGTCTAAGCCTTAGAATTATAAAGTGGTTTTAACCTTTTCAGCATCTTATCTTCTTTTGAAAGTGTTGGAGTTTTGCAAGTCATAATAGTGACTTTGTTCCCATTTTTTTTCTCCAAGGCTAACATGTGCCATATATGATAAAAATCATGCGCTTCTTGGCTTACAGAATATTGTAACATTTGGTAACTCGTGCTCCACAAAAAAGAACAAGAGTTGCTTCCCTCGGCATAGGTGGAAACAGACCTGCTGCTAGTTTTTTTTTAAAAATGCTATTCAGTAGATTTCCAAACTGCCTTTGACGATTGTACTAAGGTGCTTTATAATTGTTATCAACAAATCCAAATGCTTAAAATATTTTTTAAAAATATTTATATGTTTGTAAAATAATACCACAGAGAAACAAAATAGTGTGAAATAGTAGATCAGATAAAATCGCCTTTGAGAGGAAAGTTGCTTACCTGTGGTTCTTCTGCACATTCCTGCACAATGGAATTGTTGGACTATTCTAGTGATAAAGAGCTGCTTGAAGAGAACCTGGCCCCACGCTACCCGAGATTAGGTATGCCCTAATGGCTCCTGTGGCGATCTCCTCTGAAGCCCCTATTCCCCCAGGCCTTCACGAGGTTCTCGCTCTTCTTTCTTCACTGCCACCAGGTGTTACTGCCTTTAATCATTTAATCATGGAGACATGTGTGCTTTTAAAACTTAAGTTATTTATTAGATCAGGTAAGCTAACATCTGATTAATATTCAAGAGGTAAAATACAGGTTGCTAATCACTTGTATTTGAATCAAATCTGTTTTACTTTAAAATTCTTTTAGTGACTTTAAAATTCTGTTAGCACTCTGTTCCATTCAGCATTCGTACAGATCTCTAACCCACTTTTAAGTTTCACACTGTCTCTCACTACCAGAATCTCTCTCTCAGACTCCAGCCACCAGCCTTTATAGCCAGCCCCCTCTCCCCTTGGCTCCACCTTCCATCACTCATTGGCTCCTCCTTCCCTGTTCAGCTGTGACGGACAGGTGAGGGCGGGGCTGTTAGCTACAGCTCCTCATCAGTTTCCATCCACCAAGGCCATGCATTCCAAGGGAGAAAAATGTTATGGGTTGAAGAGAGGTGAATGGGTTGTGTAACTTCACAGATGACCACTCAAACAATTACAGTTACAAGCAGCAATATGATCTCCTTATTCATGGTCTCTGTCGCTCATATAAATTGATGATTTGTTTGCTCACTTACCAGTGCCTGAACATCATGATAAAACTGAAGATAATATGGCTTCACCGAACATAAAATCTTTGTGTGGTCAAACATTGAGTCTGTAGTGTTTCATAAATGTGTGACCAAGTTGAAGCTCTGCAGATGTCCTGTATTTGAGCTCCTCTCAAGAAAGTTGTGGAAGAAGAAACAGATCTAGTAGAATAAATACCCATTTGGGTTCCTAGCTAAAGCATATGCTAAGGAATAAATAGTAGTAGGTACTTTGCAAAATGTTGTGCAGACAAAGGTTGACCTTTACATTATCCTTAGTAGCACATGAAGAGTTGCTCATTTCATTGAAACTCCTTAGTTCTGCCCACATTAAAAAAAGCTAGTGTTGGACATGCTTGGCAAATCACTGAGCAAAGCTTTAACTGCTTCTGTACCATAGAGCTCATACATGAAAGGACATGGTCCCTGGCTTTCCTTGGCTTGTCATATAATGAAAGCCAGGCTGTTTTCTTTTGTGTGTTTCTTAGAGAATGAGGAAACCCATTTCTCAAAAACCTGTGATATAGATTCAGCAGAATAGTTACTTTTAGTGTCTTGACTGCAAATCCTTAGGGGCTCACAGTTAGCCTTTGGGATGAATACGGATACAATATAAACAGAGAATTCAAAGCACATTCTCCCTTATAAAATGTCTCTATTTTAAAATGGCACAACTCCCTTTTATAATGTATGGTTCTCTGTACCATCAGGCCCAAGGCCTGGCTGAAATGGTAGCCATTGCAATGGCACATTGTCTTTGCATTCAAAGGTTCTGGACATCTTGCAGCACATTCAAGCATTGGACCCCTCCCAGCATGGAGCAGTGGGCTATTTAGTTCAACATACACTGGAACATATCGAGCGCAGGAAAGAGGAAGCAGGGCCTGAGGTGAAGCTCCACTCCGATGAGAAACATAAAGGTGTCTGCTATTCAGTCGGCCTGGTTATGAAACACAAGAGGTGAATCCATTCTGTCTTTTTCTAATTTTTTGCCTGGGATTTTGTGCTGCTAGATGACAGCATCCTCCGGTGGCTACCTCTGTGTTTAAATGGACTATCACAGACCTAGCTACTGCAAGTGGACCTTCCATGTTAACTGCCATTACTCAAAGCCCAAGGCCTTATTTCATACATCACTGTAAAAAGTATTAAGCTTGATGCATCTGCCAAAATAGGCTCAAAATTAGCTTTATGAGAACCACATTTCCAATTATATTTTGTCGTTAATCCTTTGTTTCAATTTCTTAGTACATGATGTCTTGATCCCTTGCCTGCATGATTATTTCTGACTCAACATTTGATGGAGTTATGTGACCCCTTTTTCTGTGTTTGATTTAGATATGGTTATAACTGTGTGATCTATGGTTGGGATCCATCATGTATGATGGGTCACGAATGGATCCGAAACATGAATGTCCATAGCTTACCACATGGTCCCAACCAGCCATTCTACAATGTATTAGTAGAGGATGGATCGTGCCGATATGCTGCCCAAGGTAAGCAGGCAGGCATATTTTGACATCCATATAATGGAAGTGTATTGTTTTATATATGTACAGCAATCTTCTCCATAATGGTGATTGCCAAAGCATTGGGCTACCTCCCTCCAGTCCTAGGCAACGATAGAAGGGGTCAGTGGTTAAACTATGTACCTATTTGCACTAAGCTGTTGTTGGGACTGCTGGGACTTTACAACCACCTACCTAGATCAGTACTCACTGAGAATGACCCCACCAAAAATGGGTATTCGGTCCTCTTGGACAGGAGAGGCTAAAATATGCTATTTATTGGGGCTGGGGCTACATTTCTTGCTCTGCACTTGCTGGATCTGCTGTAGTTCTTCACACATGCACCATCAGTAGTACCTAGTTTGCCTGTTAGTTCCAACCCTTGCTTCATCTCAGGCTTTTTTTGGCTAGTTTCTCAACTACAGCTACTTGACTCCTAACTCATCAAATTAAATCTCATAGATTCTGTTAATTCATTAGGTCTACTCTTCTTCGTACCTGCAATTGGATTTAGATCATCAGGCAGGATTATTGCATTAGTCATCCTTTTTCTTGTTGAGTGCTGACTTTGGCCATCTCAGTGCTTTTTGAATGTTTTCAGGAGCAGTCCCAAAGTTTTATAAGGGTGCAAAGTGATCTCTCTGTTCTATGTGAGCCTTTAAGATCCACATAGAACAATATTTTAATATTCCTATTTCTGAGGCTAAGCGCAACAGGGATATGTCCACCCAGTTCTTTTTCTGGGCTCAGAAGAAAGAAGGAGGAGAGGGTCCCCCACCAAACTGCTGCATTTCATGGTTAGTATTGTCAGTATTTGAAATGATGTGTTTTGTAAGAATGTAAAATGTTCATGGGGGCACAGAAAAAAAGCCTTAAAAGTAAAGTGCTGTTTTAAACTACACCTCAGAACGGTTACTATGAGTCAATTCATGACACTTTAAATGCACCCGAAACAATTGACCGCAGATCAAGGTTATAGAATATGTAAACAATTTTATGACAGCTAAATGTTGAATATCTTTCACTGAAATAGTGCCATCTTTTGGGGGGGGAATAAATATTTGAATTCTGCAAAATTAGACTTAAGTATCAAAAATGAAGGTACCATTTTCCTAAAGTTGTAAGATAGTCAATATCTCAAATGTTATATAAACAATTTTGTCAGCCTTAGGAAACAGAACAGGATCAGAGTCAATGGAAATTTGTACTAGAAATTCCTGCAAGTTGAAAATCCTAAGTTAGCAATGCAAGATAAGGGGAAATGAAAACAATCTGTAAGAGTTATAAATATGGTGATTGGGCACATACAGTCATGAAGGAACAACTCAACACCAGACATCAAAGAAGATGTAGCAGCGCAGCAGCAGATGCTGGCAACAACAATCAAATGCATTTTAGGCTGGGTTTCTTAATACACGTGGATGGTGTTATTGGTGAACTTGAAGAGACAGGTTTCCAAGAGGAGCTGGTGCGATTCCTTATTCAGCATTCTCTATTCTGAATTGACAGCCGATCCAAGCCATGATTTCTTGGGAGATTACAGATACAATAACTCCTCTTTCTTCTTGCAGAGAATTTGGAATACAACATGGAACCTCATGAAATTCCTCACCCAGACATAGGCCGCTATTTTATGGAGTTTGCTGGTATTCACTACATAGCAAACAAGGAATTACAGATCCGATACCCTGAAGACATGGAACTTACGCATGCAGCTGTCCAAAAGACATATGAGAAACGTGAATGAGCTTCCCATCTCTGTAGAAGAGCAGAAGTCAACTTCTCACAGTAGCTGTGAGAATTATGTTGTGGGTTCCCTGACTTAACTAGGAGTCATATTTTGCTCAGTAACTAGCAGTAAAGTATTTTCTTTTGTAAGTTATGGTGTCCCAAAAGTAATGAAATAATGTGGACACATGGATTGTTGAGACAAGATGTTACATGTCTAAAAGGACCACACCATAAGAAGCACCTACTCTCATTTACTTCTGGACTCTAAAGTTCTTGTTCTTGATTTAGAGGTGTTTTCAACAGCCTGTGGGCTGAACCTGTTGACATTATATAGATTGGGCTTGACATATCTCTAGTATTTTGAATGTTTGAGATTTGTACATTATCATTGTGCCCTTTTCAACTCTGTCAGCCCCCCCCTCCCCTGTTCTCTGATCTTTTCAGTAGCCAGCAATCCAATCCTAGACTCTTAGGAAGGATATTTACACTTCCTTGTTCAAAGATCATGAGAATATGCGGAGTGGTACTCTTCCCACTGCCTGAGAGGAACAGCTTAAGCTTCACATAAAAGATGAAGATTGCATAAATCTTTCTCTTTTTTGCAGACGGAGTCCCTTTCACTACAAACACCTGTGCACTGGGAGTCCCAAGAGTGAATTATTGATGGGCCACATTTATGATCTAGTTGGATATGTATAGTATAGTCCTCTTGTTATGCACTTGTGTCTGTCTTGAAGAGATTGTTCAGGTAGCTGTGAGCTTTCCCTATCAGTGCATCCATACTTCAGGGCATCTGAGCTGTGAAATTCATAGCTTTTCGAAAAACTATTTTTCCTAGCCTAAAAACTAGGAATGAAAACAAATAGTGTGGCTTCTGAAGTTCGCAATCATTGGGGGTGGTGTCTCAAATGTGGGTAAGATAATTTTCAGACTTGACTATCAGAACAATCTGGGTTTGAAAAAAAAAATTCACACATCATGCATCTCTCTACGTTTTATTACACATCATAAACAGTTAACTGTGAGGACATAGATTCTGTGATTTTAAAGTTGATGCCTAAGCAGAGTGAAGTCAGTATGTAATAGATTATACTTAGTGGCACTACAAGTAAGTTTTAATTATTATGCTGCAAATGATAATGTTTGCACTGTAATGATTTAAGCTTAGAATGCCACTTTTTATAGCAGTGAAATCATTATTTTCAGGATAGTGGTTGATATGCATGTTGCATTTTACAATAGTTAGTCAGCATATTTCTTTGTGAAGGTCCACATATGTTCCCGGGTGGCTTAACACAGTTTGAGGTTTAGTTCAGGCATGTCTGGATCTGAACAATCATGGGTGAAGACCTGAATCAATTGTGATAACTTAATCTGAACCCTTCAGATCCAACAAATAACCACAGTCATCCACACTTGTGTGGATGTTTTCGCATGTACTAGGAGACGGTGGCTCATATGAACCAGCAGTGTTAATAATCACCTTGGGAGAATGAACCAAGAGGAAAGCTAAAGATTCAAATAACAAATTAATGTAGAGTAGGAAAGAAAGTATTTGCAATAAATGTAATTTAAATTGAAGAGGCCTTGGTTGGAAGCTAAAATCCTGCATACTTCACACATCATAAATCCCAGGCTCTCATTGAGAGACAAAAATGTCAGTAACATGAAGCCTGGGAAACTCTTTCTGTGAAGTGTTAATGCTTCTATATTATGCAACAATGCATCTGCCTCAAACTTTGTATTTTTTAGCCTGCAGATGGTTCTCTAATGCAGCCATTCTCAATCTTTTTTTGGCCATGGCCCTTTTAGGAGTTCTTCTCAGGTTCCAGGGTTGTCTTTCAAACAAGGATACAACACAAACAGGTGAACAGGAAAACAGAATAGAACATTTTGAGTCTGTGGCTCCTTTCCAATGTGCCAGGGCTCATGCGAAGCATGGCAGAACTCCTGTGACGGAGTCCTGCGTTAATGCTAGCTGTATAACTTTGATCTGTAGCACAGGTACGATCCCTACTTCTCTGTGCTCTTGGTAATCGGATGTTTGTCTGTGGTATCTCTCTGCATTTTTGTTTATAGAACTTGTACTTCAAATGAAAGGTGCTATAGATATATATATATATATATATGAAGAATAATATATAAAGAACAATATAAAGATTATGAATTTTAAAAAACAATACACTTTGTACAGTTAAAATTCAGTGTGCAGTTTTGGTCACTAAACAAGCTGTATTTATGACTATTTTAATGTTATCGATTCTTTCCTTATCCTCCCAGCACCTTTGACACATGATAGAATAAAATGCTAATCATGTCAGATTCAGACTGTATACATGTATCTTTTAGATTATTTGGAAATATATACTGTTCATTCACCTAGTCTGACAAGTTGGCAAAACAGAGTCCTGCAGCCTAATATAAATGTGAATTTTTCTGTGGGGATTTTGTATATTTACAACTAAACTTCTGGGTTTGTTGAATAAATCAGCATGTTGTATTTTGAGTGGCTAATGGATGGATCCATTAAATAGAACAGACTCTGTGGCATCATAGTGGATGCTTTCTAGGTGTACAAGTATATAATTTGGGGGTGATCCACAGCTGTTTTTTGTATCCATAGCTTCATTTCCATATTCTTATGGTGAAGCTTCTTATGAATTCCACCACTGGTATTGAGAGACCTCCAAGAAATTCAGCTGCCCTATTCCATATCAAACCTGTCATTTTTGGTATCAGGCTTGCTCAGCATCTTACAGTTTGGAAGAACATGGATGGTCAAAATCATGATCTCATAGACTGTTATCCACCATTAAATATTTTCTGTTTGATTCCACTATCAGCAATACTAGTCCAGGAAATACAGAAACTTGGACAAGGATGTTACAGTACTAACATCAAGATATGCTAGTCCAATCTGGTCTCTGTATTTCATTGTACCAAACAGGCTAATTTTGTGAAAAGAATGACTATACAATTCTACCCCCCTCCCCCGATAATGCACATAGCTGCCACAGGTTGGACTAGGGTGGGGTTGTTGTAAGCAAACTTGGGACCACAGCACAACAATCTTAACACTTTTTCCTTCCCTCAAGTTGCTGTCAAGCCCTGCTAGGCGAGGCAGGGGTAGAAATCAAAACTGAGTGCTCATTGGAAGGACAGATCCTGAAGCTGAATCTCCAATACTTTGGCCATCTCATGAGAAGAGAATTCCCTGGAAAAGCCCCTGATGTTGGGAAAGTGTGAAGGCAAGAGAAGAAGGGGACGAAAGAGGATGAGATGGTTGGACAGCATCATTGAAGTGACCAACATGAATTTGACCAAACTCCGGGAGGCAGTGGAAGACAGGAGGGCCTGGCGTGCTCTGGGCCATGGGGGCACGAAGAGTCGGACACAACAATTAAACAACAACAAAATGGGAGGTAGTCTTAATGGTTTTTGCAACTGAGTTCATTATAGAGCTAACAAGAAATGTTGATCTAAGCAATAATTTGTGATTGATTTTAAAATGTTTAGTGTGCTGTGTGTACCTTAACTGATTCATCACCATGTTTACATGGAATTAGTTTCTCCTGATTAGATGTGCAAGACTGCAACATGAACTTCTAATTACTTCCTTCTATTTCCTCTTTTTAAAGTGGTGCTGACTTCCTTTTAATTCTTGGGCTTTCCTTTCAAGTAAAGGATTTTTGGGGGATTTTCAAGGTGCTGTTTGTTTTGATAACTGGGGAATGAATGAAAATAATTTAACATTGAGAGGAAAGAGCTCAAGCCTTGACATTAAAATGTGGGGGTTTTTTTTAACAGCACTTTACAAGCATTCGTTTGCAGTTTAAGAAGGTATTTAAATAGGAATGTTTCTCTGGCCTGGACTGTGGGATGCAGATGTCTTTGCTCAAAAAATAATTGGTTTGTTAAAATGCTAGCTAGGTATGAGCACAATCTGCAAACCTTGTCCTGATTGGAAAACTATTTCAGTGTAGCTTATGAAAAGTTTGTGCCTCATGAAATACAGTACAGTGGTGCCTCGCAAGACGAATTTAATTTGTTCCGCAGTTAGTGTCTTGTGAAAAATTCATCTTGTGAAATGCATTTTCCCATAGGAATGCATTGAAATCTAATGAATGTGTTCCTATGGGCAAAAAAAGTCAGAACAAAGTCAAATTTGCTTTACAAAGGGTTTATAAAGTGCTCTTTCAAGCCATACGTATTGTGCAGATGATTTAAAATTTTTCAATCAAAAACGTTTAACTTTTAAAACATCATAGAAAAACATTTAAAAATCAGCAAACATAAGGCAGGAACAAAAAATGGAAAACATTCATCTTGCGAAGCACAGCCATAGGAACATTCGTCTTGCAAGTCAACAATCCCATCCCATCACAAAAACCATTCGTCTTGTGAGTTTTTCATCCCACGAGGCATTCGTCTTGCAAGGCACCACTGTATAGTGAAAGAAGATTGTGGCTTGATAGAGGTTTGCCATTTGTCATTTTCACATGGTGTGAAGAAGAATGGAGCCACGTTTCCACTTCTCCATTAGAAACACAGCTTTTAAAGCCTTATTTGAGGCCAGTAATCTTTCACTGTGCACTAAACAATAACCCTCTTCACACCCATTTTTCTTCCAGCTCCTCCCTCTTCAGCCCCACCCTCCGTCACCCAATTGGCTGATGATTCACTGCCCAGCTGTGATGGACAGGTGAGGTTAGGGCTGCCTGTTACAGTTGGATAGACCTTTGCTTTCATAAGCTGAGTTGGAACGTCTTTTGAGTTTTACCCACGTGCAGGCTAAAAGAAAGGTTCAACAGTTTGCCGGGTTTCAGATCTAAGTTCAGGACCATCATCTCATGGATTCTGTTGGCCCAGAATTCTCAGTCCTGACTATACTCCTTTTATCTTTCCACATATTTCGTGGCATTTACACTCAGCAATGTCCGAGTGATAAGCAGCAGCTACAATCTAACATTGCACTAGTTAAGCTGTATGTGGAGTCAAGTTCTTAATACAGGCAAGCAGAATTGTTTGTAGAGGACAGCAGCCAGGAAGATAAGCAGTCTAGAAACCAAGTCCTTGTAAGAAATGGTTGAAAAAGCTAGGATGTATTTAGCCTGCAGAAGAGAAGAGTAAGGGGAGATGTTATAATTGTCCGTAAATATCTGAAGCGCTTATCACATAGAAGACAGAGCAAGCTTGTCCTTCGCTGCCTCAGAAACCAGGACTAGGACTGAGAAGTAGAAAAGCCAGAGCACCAGCTTTCAACAAAATCTTAAGAGCAATATGGAAGACGGTGCCAGCTGTTCTGAAGAACAGAATGCCCCACGATGTGGTGAATTCTCCATTCTGGAGATGTTTATCCAGAGGATAGATGGTAACTCATCATAGAGTCACAGAGTCAGAAGAGGCCATCCAGTCCAAACCCTCACCATGTGGGAAGATCCATCAAAGTACTCCCAACAGATGGCCATCCAGCACCTGCTTAAAAACCTCCAAAGAAGGGAGACTCCACCACCCTTTGAGGCAGCCTATTCCACTGCCAGACAGCTCTGACCGCCAGGAAGTTCTTCCTAATGTTCAGATGGAATCTCTTTTCCTATAGTTTGAAACCATTGCTCTGTGTCCTAGTCTCTGGAGCCCTGGAAAACAAACCTGTCCCCTCTTCAACATTACATCCTTTCAAATATTTAAACATGCCTATCAGGTCCGCTTCTCAACCTTCTTTTTGTAAGGTTAAATATCCCCAACTCTCTAAACTGCTTCTCATAGGACATTGCTTCCAGACCTTTAACCATTTGGTCGCCCTCCTCTGGACGCTTTCCAGGTTGCCAACATCCTTTTTTAATTGAGGTGCCCAGAACTGGACACAATACTCCATGTGAGGTCTGACCAAAGCAGAATAGAGTGGTACTATCACTTCCCTTGATCTAGACACTATACAACCAAGAATCACTTTGGCTTTCTTGGCAACCGCATCACACTGCTGGCTCATGTTCAGCTTGTGGTCTACCAAGACTCCTAAATCCCTTTCACAGGTACTGCTGTCTAGCCAGGTGTCTTCCCACCTCAGGACAATCTCCCTTGTGGTACACAGGGAATTTCTTCAGGTCAGCCTTAGACAATTGGCCTCCCTCAGAATCCCTATTGTTATTATTGTTCTGGTTCATCATTTCCAGTTTTCTTAACTCATACGCCATCCTTTCTTTTTCCAGAGCAATTTTCTCTCTCTCCATTCTTTCTTCCCTCTCCATTCTCTCTCTCTCTCGCTCTAATTCAAATGCCATTTTCTCTCTCTCTAATCTTTCCTCCATTTCCCTCACCCTCAGTTCATGCTGTTGGGCTATGAGCAATTTTCTAAGTTCTGGGTTCTGCTCTCCTGTGCTGTCACCCTGCACTGAGCCAAATTCATCCTCAGAACCTTGGTCAATCTGGGGGTCTTTCACTTCACTCATGTCTGCTACTTTGCTTCGAGTCAAGGGCATAATCCCCCCTCAGAACAGGCTGCTTTAAAAGTCAAGCCTCAAAATAAAACGACCACTTTTTTCCTTTTTGCCTCAGAACCAGCTCTCCCTAGAGATTGCTGCTGTTCTTCAGCACTACTTGCAACAGTATCGAGTCAGAGCCTACCCCCCTCTGCTGGGCCTCTCAGCTGGCAAGCTAGCTCGCTGTTGCTACGCAGTTTTTCCTCAGCTTTTTCCCGCCAAAACTATGCTGCCTCTGAGCACCTTAATCTAAGTCTCCCCAGTTGGCACGTTCTTCTACTAGCGCACCTCCCCGTGAGGTACACCTAGAAGATTACCTACGCGCCTCAGACTGTCCCTGACTAGACCCCCCTTGCTCTGGGCACGCTTGCCAAGGCTTTGCTGGACCACTGGACAACTGGACCAGTCGTATCCCACACGCTGGACACCAATCAATGTGACAAACCCAGACCTACTGGGATATGTCACACAGTTACACTAAGCTGCCACCAACCATTCCCTTTAAGAAGTCACACAGACCAGGGATGGATTTTCAAACAATAAAAAGAATAAGGTTTATTTTAAATACACACAGGGAAAAATAAACAATCAGGTGAATAGGATAAAGTAACGTGGCTTATTCTCATTCATACATGCATACAGTTTGGTTCACACAGAACCCTTAACTTGAAGCACAGACCCTGAACCTATCAGTTCTGGCTAACCAACAGACACCTGAACCTATCAGGTTGGTACTCTGACACACAGTAGTACCCTGTCTGACACACAGACTCCCACAACAGCTTCTTCTTCCCAGCTGCTGCTTCGTCACACCCCAGTGTCTCTCAGCATCTCCTCCGTCTGTCTCTTCACCACACACGCTCCACATATATATACAGTACAGCCCCTCCTCCTGATGTCCCGCCTTCCACTCCCCATAGGATGGAACTTTCCCTCCAAACCCATGACAGACAGGTAACATCAGTGCTGTATGTAACAATCTCCATGCAAAGACCCTATTGTTTCCTTCTTTTTCCTTTTACTGCTG